AGCACTTGTCTTTGCTCATGGCCCCTCAGACATCTGGCCGGCCCCGTGCGTGCGTGTGGTGTGTCCTGGCACCTGGCCCTTCCATGTGGTCCCCACTCTGTGGCTGTTAGCTCCTGGGTCGGACTTGCTGAGGGTCACGTGTGCGCTGGCCCTGGCACCGTCAGGTGCACAAATGCGCCGCCTGTCCTCTGGGAACTCGGGCTAGTGGAGGGGAAGGGCAGGGGTGCGGCAGCACGGAACTCACAGCAGTCCTGCAGGGGGAGGGAGACCCACTGGCCCTGGCTGTGTCTGAGGGAGCAGTGAGGCCGAGACGTCATGGGGTGAGCACAGGCTCTGGGGAGGCTGTCGGGCGCCACATGTCTGGAGAGCCAGAGGGTGTCCTGGAATCGCTCCTTCAGACCCGGCCAGGGCACCATAAGGATTCTTCCTGGGTGCTGGTCTCCTTTCTGAGCCATTGGCTCAAGGGTCGGCCCTGTCCAGGCCAGCCTGGTGGGACACTGCTCAAGGGCATGGATGGGAAGCTCGGGTTCCCTTTTCATCCCACTGCAGGCCGGCAGGATGGCCTTTGCCAGTAGTGCCAGTGACCGGTGACCGGTGGGCTGAGGCGGGATGGAGCCCGAGGCTGCCAGAGCCGCAGGGCAGGACCCTGCCTGAAGGAAGAGCCAGGCAGGGCTGTGGCAGTGCCTGCAGTCCCAGCCAGGAGACTGAGGCAGGAGGGTCACGACTTGGCGAGACCCTGTTTTAGGAATGTTGTCTTTGCTGCCTGAAATGGAGGTGAGGAGCCAGGAGGAAAGGAGGCCGGGGGGCGCACAGCCTTGGACCAACATCTCAAATCAGGTGCACCTTCAACATCTCTCCCCTTTGTTTGCAGTCTGGTCCCTTGGCCAGGCATTGCGACCGTCCTGTGGCCTAAGAGCCCCAACCAGACCCCCTCCAGGGCTGTCCTGTCCCCCACCCCGCCACTCCTTTCTTCCGACCCTGCTCTCTATGCCTCTCTATGCTCTCTATGCACCATCCAGCAGTCCACCCTAGAAAGCACCAGGAAGAAGGCAGGCCTGGTGGTGGGTCTCTGAAGACCCCAACATTACATTTTCTCTGGGCCCCCAGATCCACTCCTCTGCTCGCTGAAAAGGGGGCTTGTTGAAAATTCAGAAAGTCTCACAAAAGCGGTGAGGAATGCAGAGCCCTCAGCAGGCCCCAGTGCTGCCTGATCCCGTCCCTGTCTGCCAGCCTGCCACCCTCCCTGGCTGCCGCCCGCCAAGCGCAGAGCCACCCTCAGCCCCGTCTCAGCAGTCAGCCCCTGGCCCTGCCCTGCAGGGAGGCGGGGACCAAGGGAGCCGTTCATGCTCACTCACTCAGTATAAATCACTTACTCATAAACCGTCAGCGGCTTATACTTGGTGATAACCCCCCATTTCTAAACTATTTCCTGGAAATAATGAGGTTTCCAACAGATCTGATCAGCCTTGCAGCATGCTGAGGCTTGACTGCCACTGAGCCTTTAGGAAGCGGAGAATTTCCAGATGGGAGCATGAGGGCATTTCCACACGAGGTCTCCACCCTAGACGCTCCTTGCGGTAAACATTGGGGTTGCAAACGCCCGCAGTCACCTTAGTGAGATGTGTGCCTATTGGGAACACGTGTAAAGTGCTGCTGAAGTCATCTCAGATTCTTGTCACGTATTTGCAGTCAGTTGCCCCCAAAATGCATCCGTTCTTAAAATCAGACCCATCGTCCTGGGTTGCAAGTTTTGGACCCGTTCATCTGAAATCAAAGCAGCTCAAGCAAGCCACCTCTGAAGTGGGGTGCCTGCAGTGTCCTTCCGTGATATGCAAAGCCTAAAGGAGGCTAAGGCCCAGCCTGTCCAGTTAGAGTTGCGAATCATTACTCCTACCCCAAGGTGAGGCCTTCCTGGAGGTGTGGGTTCCTGGCGCTCCCCTGGTGGGTGTGGGGAGCTGCAGGTGGGAGTGAGGTTCTCGTACCCTTAGGGCGGGGCCTTCTGGAAGCAGACGGAAAGTCAGGAGCTGGCCCCCAGGTGGTGTGGCCTGAGGTCATCCAGGGGCAGAGGCCCCTGCCCGAGAAGACTGGAGAGGATTCCTCTGTGTAACCTCATATCGGGACTTGGCAGGCTTTGAGATTCGGTAGTGTCGTTACACGCAGGCGTCCCTGGGAGATGGCACGCCTACATACAGTGAACCTTGGCTCTGAAGAGTTGAAATCCTCACGTCTTGTTACAGCTTTTCCGGAGAGCTGGTCATTCCGACAGCTAGCCGAGTATAAAGAAGACGCACCTTTGCCAGGGCAGGAAAACGGCTCTAAGAGGGGCCCCGGTCGCTGCAAGGGCCCGCAGGCCAGCTGCCCCAGCAGCCTTGGTGGGGCTAGGATATGTCAGGCCCCTTTAGAAAGAAGGAAGTCATTCTGTTCCTCATGGAAATGCCCAAAGTACAGACCCGCAGGTCTCGGAGGCCTGACGCAGTTGTGCGTGGGGTTATTTGTGTTCGCATTTTCTGATCTGACTGACAAGAAAGCAAAGGGCACTGAAGTTTATTTCCTGTTTTGATGGCCTGGGGTCACTGTTGGATGAGTTCACACTGGACAAATGGTCGCCTGTTCTGGCTGGATGAGATACAGAAATGGACGTTTTTAATAATCAGCAAGAACCTGAACGTCGTATCTTTAATGTTTCTTCTCTAGCCGTTCCAGAAGCAGTAATAGCGAAACCCAAGCTATAAGGCTTCAAGATTGTGTCCAATCTCTATCCAGCAGGGCTTTTTTGGTTTTTGTTTTCTTTTTAAAACTGTGCCTCGTGTTTAGATATGCTGATGTATATATATATATTTGGAGAGGTGTTTTTGGTTTTTGGTTTTTGGGTTTTTTTTGCTATAGGGCGTGTGCACTTGCCAGAAAGAGAGAGCGACAGAGAGACAGAAAGCAAGAAATCATTCCCCCTCAGGGGGGATGGCTACACCTCAATCCCTTCTCCTCCATTCTCCTCTCGGGATTTTGGACACGTACGCACATGTGCCTGGTGTGAGTTTAAGCCACCAGGCCCACAACTCGAACTGCGGTCGACTGCATCGGAGTCTAGCAACATAGCCATTACGCCAACTGCTGGTCCTAAAATCCATTGGCCAATACCATACGAAATTCAGGAAAATGTCAGACTTGGCTTAAAAAATTCTAGGACTTTGAGCCAATGTCTCAATATCTGTTTCTGGGCTCAAAGCTTCTGGAATTTTTTAAGCTTTTACAAAAACAAACAAAACAAAGCCTACAATGGCATAACTGGCAGAGTAGACTATGGGTTTTGTAGAGCATTTTTATACATTGTTTTCTGTAAAAAGTATCTTTGGCCAGGGTATCAGAAAATAGCAGGAGTTCGGCCACCTCTAAACCATGACTCCTCCATCCACAATGGCCGGTTGGCCCCTGCAGGAAGCCCAAGGCCAGCGGCTCCGTGCCACCTCCACCGCGGGCCGTCACAGGAGGTTTGAACAGGTCCGTCCCTCACGGCGCCTCTACCACAGAGGAGTGCTACTCTCACACTCAGGAATCTTATGCTTTTTGGTCTTAGTCATTCTTTTTTTTTTAGAGAGAGAATTTTTACTGTAGGGCCTGTGTGCTTACTGGAGAGAGAGAGAGAAAGCAAAACATCACTCCCTGGAGGGACGGCCACACCACAATCCCTTCTCCTCCATTTTCCTCTCAGAATTTTGGACATTCATGAGCACACGCCGGTCGTGAGCTTCAAGCCGCCAGGTCCAGAACTATAGTTGCCATGTGGGAGTCCAGGGCCTTAACCACTATGCCACTTATTGGTCCCCTTAGTCATTCTTTCACGCAATAAAATGACTAGGAAAAAGACCAAAAACAACAACAAAATACCTTTAGGTTTGGAGTTGTAGTTGGGCCTCACTTTCTTGAAATGTCACTGTCTACATCAGAAGGTCCTAAGTTCCTTAATGCAAATCAAACATCCTATAATTTGACTAAAAATAGACAGGATTTGGAATTCCCCACCGAGTCCCCATCGAGTGTAAGTGAAAATAGAATCTTAGCATTTAAGAACTAAAACCTGCTTTCAGCTTCGGCTCAGAGGTGGCCCAGGTGCAACTTTCTTTAGTTGTCCCGAATCTGGGTTCACCCGACACCAGCCGCCGTCAGCATGCCACCCAACTTGGACCTCCCCCAAGCTGCAAGTCAGTCCCTGACCAGTGTCGAGGTCGGTGCCATGTCTGCCCTGCCCCTGAGATCAGCCCCCGGGTCTGTCTCCAAAAGAGGTTGGTGATGACATAGGCAAGGCCACCAGTGACTGGAAGGGTCTGAGGATCCCGGGGAGAGACCGGCCACTCAGAATAGACAGGCCGGATCGAGGTGGCACCTTCTGCCCCGCTATAGGAGGGTCAGAGGACTGTGCGGCGGAGGGTGCGGCGCAGAGAGCATCGATTAGTCATGGCCAGTGGCGGGTTCCTAGCTCGGGGCTCCCGGGGGCAGCCTGAGACAGGGCCTCTGCCAGAGAGCTGGCCCCAGAAAGCAGCAGTGGGGGACAGCAGAGGAGGAAAAGCCAATGCGGGGCAGCCAGGAGTGCCACCGTGCCCAGCCCTCGGACACCTCTCAGAGCCCCCAGGTGCACCGCCTGCTCATCTCCTGCTTCAGAGTCACCTTAACTCCCCAGGACTCCTGGGCAGACTCTGGGCCTTCTGGGGTTTAGAGAACACTCTGACCAGAAAGGCGGAGAGAGGCACGGCCTCGAGGCGGGCCCTGGTGGCCTGAGGATGACTCGGAACTGCGGTCCTTCTGCAGAGGTAGGCTGCGGGGCTGCGTGTGAGGCGCCGCGAGTGTCCATTGTTGAGCGGGACCTAGGTGGGACCTGCTCCCACGGCTGTGCTCCCACACGGAATCGGGCCAGTTGCCAGCCCCGTGTGGGTGGGACAGCATCAGCAGACGGAGGCACCGCGGGCTTGTCCAGCCCACCCAGGCCCTGCCGTCCTTCTCCACAGCTGAGCTGGATGCCGCGCACAGCCAGAAGGCCCTGGAGGTGGAGCAGGCCCAGCAGACCAAGCTGCGGGAGCGGCAGCGCTTCTTCGAGGAGGCCTTCCAGCAGGACATGGAGCAGTACCTGTCCACCGGCTACCTGCAGATCGCGGAGCGGCGAGGTGAGTGGGCACGGGCCGGGCTCCCGGGGACAGGACGGGGCAGGGCGGCGCAGGGGGACCCCGAGGGGC